AAAAATGATGCAAAATAACAGATGAATCTGAAAAAAGTTCTGCTATTACTGAATTATCAATATTATACAACAGTACAAACTACATGATATATGAAAAGAGTATATTCTGTGTGATGAAAAATTTAAATGGACTAATGGGTACGTGATAAGGCACATATAATAAAATTTAATAGTAAAATCTAGGTGGTGAATATATAGATGTTGTAAAATTCTTGCACCTTTGTTGTATACTGTAAGTTTTCATGATAGATGTTGGAAAAAAGTTACTCCTAAGTCACATATTTTTAACTTTTTAAAGTGGCAGTTTTAGATACTTAAAACTTGCTATTTTAACAAATTAACTATTTTTTAAATGAAATTCTTGAATGATTTTAAAAACATAAAACACTATTCTGTACCTGAGTTTGTGTCATCACGTCTTGATTTCTTCCTTTTGCTTTGAGATATTTTCTTTTTCTGAGTTTTCTACAAAACAACACAGCAAAGAATTTTACTTAAGAAGTATTCTTTCTCTTTAAAGAATTAAGACAGTATTATCAAACACTGTCAGTTAATACAATATTTTAACTATAATTCTTATTTACTTCTAAGTTAATATATTAATTATATAACTTACTTAATATAAGGAAACATTGAGCAAAAACAAAACTGTCTCAAAATAAAAAGTAAATAAAACTCTCAGTTGGCTTTTAACAATGGTTGCCCTGGAAGAAGCTGAACATTTATTATTTAAAATAATGTGTGCAATCAGCTCAACTTCCAAAGCTATGATGGAAAAACAGCTGAATGAGCTTTCCTACCATAAACCATAAAATGGGGTGGGGGCTGGCAATTTTATTTAGGTATTGGACTACAGGCAAAACAAGGCTAGGAAACTCAGAAAGTGAACCCTGTAAATGTCCCCCACCCCCACCCCCATGGACAACTTCCAGACAGCAGCACAGCAAGCTTAAGTGCCAGCAAAGCATAGTAGTCCTACCACCAAGGAGGCAGAAATCAGAGTACAGCAGCTGAAGCACTTGGAATGACTGCTAGAGGAAAGCCCAGATGTCCAGGAGGGGGTTCTCTGAAAGTCTCTGACTGAGTGAGTGCTCCACAAATGCGGTGAGGCTAGATAAAGTTCACCAGGAAGTGGCTATCATAGGGTTAAGAAAATCACAGGTAATAGAGGACAAGCAATGCTGGGGGAAATTAGATGTAGAAAATGCAGAGACCTCATTTCAACTAGCTGAGCTAGCAGAAAGACTGTAACTTAAAGGTGAGAACGATACTCTAGGGCATGCAATCTCAAACGGGGCAATACTGTTCCCAAGGGGGCAAAAACTGGTTCTTTGGGGGAGGGGAATGCAAAAAAAAAACTTAGATATTACAATGGTTGTAACCCTCCAAAGGACCCAAGAACATAAAGAGATATGCAGTTTGCTTGTGGTATCAAAATTTAATTGTGTGTGTGGGGGGGTGATTAGGAGAAAAATGTCTAAAAAGGATTCTTAAAGAAGACAAAAATGAAAAAGGACTGAGAAACATTGCCCTGGAATAAGGCCTACTCCAGGACCATCCTCACAGCCTAAAACCAATCTCTGACCAGAATCACCAGGGAGACAGAGACTGAAGGTTGAGGTAAGGAAAATTCTAAGATGATCCCCAATGACTTGTATGACTTCCTCCATTTGAGTGTTGGTGGCACCTGTGAACAGGTGGGACAGCCGCTCCCTTGATTAGGTTACATTATATACGACTCCATGTAGCCAAATGAGAGAGGCTCTCTGGCTTGCTCTGAAGATATAAGGGCCACATGAGGACCTAAGGGCAGCCTCTAGAAGCTGAGAGTATCCACCAGTTTCAATCAGAGAGAAAACAAGCGCCTACAAGAGCAAAGAATCGAATTCTACTAATAACTTGAATGATTTCACATGAGACCGAGACCCCGAGTCTCATGATTTCAGTCCTGGCTAGCACCTTGATTTCAGCCTTGTGAGACCCTGAGTACTGAATTCAGCTAAGGTAATGTAGCTTGGACTTCTGGCCTTCAGAAACTGCGAGATATAAATGTATGTTGTTTTAAGTTACATGGTTCGTGGTAATTTGTTATGCAGCAATTGAAAAGTAATACAGAGGTTGAGTCCCACTGAGTTGGAAAGGCTTGGAAAATATCTTAGGCTTTTCACAAATTGACCCTAACGAAGGATAAAACCAAGTTCAAGATGATCAGCTAATAATCAAGCTACCTGTTAGAATAACAGTCAACATTATTCAGAAGAAGTTTAACAGAATTCTGACTCTCAACAAAAATCAACAATATCCAATGCACAATTAGAAAGAATTAGAAAGTACTAGATTTAAAATATTACACAAAAAATGTTGACCTGGAGTTGGGACAGAATAGTACTCAAACAAAACACCCTGAGATAGCCCACATATCTGATTTAGAAAACAAAGACTTTAAAGCAGCTGTCATAAATATGTCCAAAAACGTCAAGGCAATGATGATGGTCTTAGAGATTAGTTAGGGAATCTCAGTAGAAACTATACTAAAATAAATAAAAGATTAAAATTAAAAAAGGAAATTATAGAACCAAAAAGCACGTAACTATAAAGAAAAAGTCATTAGGCGGTGGTTTAGTTTCTTGTGGCTGCTGTAATCCAATACCACAATTTGGTGGCTGGAAAAACAACAGAAATGTAATCGCCAATAGTTTTGCAGGTCAGAAGTCTGAAATCAGTTTCAGTGGGCCAAAATCAAGGTGCTGGTGTAAAACATTTTAAAAGCTTGATAAAAAGATATTATAGATCAAGAATCTTAAAACAGAACACATATGACCCAGCAATTTTTATTGTAGCAATTTTTCTTCCTAAGGAAATGATCAAAGGCGCACACAAAGATTTAGCTAGAAATTCATCAAAGCACTTAAAATTGTTTACATTGCAACGGTTCACTAGTAAGTGATGAACGAAACTACAGCACTTTCATGAATGAAATATCATGCAGTCATTAAAATATTGTGGAATACTTTTTGACAAGAACATGGTCCCACTTAGGGTGAGAAAAGCTCAGTAAAAGGACTGAAGAGTATAGACCAAAAAAACATGGTGGTGGTTTTGGGTGACGGAATTATAGGTGATTTTATCTTCCCTCCCATAGCTTCTAAATATTCTAAAATAAACATTTTTACAGTAAGAAAAATATAAAACATCTTTTTTTAAAAAAATGGAGGAAAGAGAAAATGCTGTATTAAGACATCTTTTTTATTATAAAAAAGTGGGGGAAAGAGAAAATGCTTTATTTTTCTCCTAAACATTTTTGAATCAACTTTTTTTTTCCTCTCCAAGGGGATGGCAGACACTCTCTTACTGGTTGACTTTCTGTTACCAGGGTCTCTTTTCAACAGAGGACTTGGCACTAAGAGGTCCTAATCTTTTTAGGAGTGTCCAATTCAGCTGGTTTCTCGGAAAGTCCTGAAGATGCCTGTAGTTAGAAGAGTTTCATGTTGTTGTGTACTTACTTTCTCTGCTGGTTTACCTTTTATTATTACATTACTTTCCTTAGCACTTTCAGAGTCATCACTAATGGGCTTGAGTTTTCTTCTTGGCTATGTCAAGAAAACGGCATTACTGATTTAGAAAATACAAATGCTTATCATTCTTATTATTATATAACAGAGGATAACCATAAGGTCCACATTGCTCATTTCTAAACTTCAAGGCTGAGCATAACAGGGAGATGACAATGTGATTAGTGGATAGGACAGGAAACCTAGATTAACGAAAGCTCCAAGTAAATACTGTCAACAAATCACCCTGCCTTTGTAAATCACAATCTAAACACATTACATGAATGCTAGAATTGACAAGTTATTGTACATAGATATGGGACCTCTGTAATGCAGAACACTTCAGATATAAAATATTTCACTTTTCACTTAAAAAGTACCTTCTAAAACATAATACTCTTTCTCTATGAAAAATGTTGCTACAGATAATTTTTTCTATTTGCATTCAATCTAAACAGGCAGGATATGAAATATCTTACAAATTCAAGTAGAAGAAAGAACACTCCTACGTACCTTTTTTGCACTAATTTTTACAGATTCATTTGCACTTTCTTCAATTTCAGAAGTGTTCGAGCTGTACCAAAGAACAAGCCATCAATACATTGTAATACATTTCATTTCTATTCACATGTCTTCTATAAGTTGTTCGTTCAGCAGGAAAAGAAGCTCAATTTAATGAGATTTCCCACTTGTTCTGGGCAGACTGCCACCTTCCCAGATTTGTCGGTCACCTCCCTCATCTTCCCACACCCAGGCCACATCAGTTGATCCTTGGTGGGCAAGTACTGGGGAGTGTCCCGTTACTGCAGCATGGTCATGCCTGAGAACAGCACCTTCCTCCGAGTTACCCTTCCCAGGTTTAGGGACTATCATTTGTACTAAAAGCTAATCCACAGACACTAAGCTCATTATTAGGCAATATAAAAAGGAACACCTTCTTTTGTCCTTTTAAATGGAAAAAGTAACCCTAAACTTCTAATGAGAGATGAGAGTTCTTTATTTCATTCAATTCAATACAACAAACATTTAAAACCAACTTCAAAATACAAAGTACAGTGAATAAAATTACTTTTAAAATGAAGAGCCTTCCTTTAAAGGGGTTCACTGTCTAGCAGGAAGACCAAAGATAATGCAGTGATGACTTAGCAAGCAATGGACAGAGAAGATGTGGGTACATGGCTGAGGGGATTAGGAAAGACATCGTGGTTGAGACACTTGAGTTGACTTCTGAAAACACTTTTCCAGACCAAAAAATAAAGGGAAGGGTATTTAAGGTAGAAGGAAAAAGGTAAAAGAGCTGGCACGTTTAAGGAGCTTGACACTGAGTACAGGTAGAATGTATTGTTAAAGAGAAGGTAATGCTAGGGAAGAGATCAACGGATATGACCAGGGAGGCGGCAAGGCAGCCATGGCGGCGTGCTGCTCAGATGTCCGTACAGTTGGCCAACAGCCTGCAGCTGCAGCCACCAGGCCCCACGACAGCATGAGAGGAGGCTACACTCTGTGGGGAGTCTCCATCAGTAACTAAACATGGTGAGAACACTAGCTTGTACCTGGTCATTTCTGCCCAATACAGGACTTCTCTAAAAGGCAATCTTTTCTCTAGAGCTCCCTAATGGTTTGGCCAGAGCAGTGAGAGCTTACACTGCAGTCTGAGGCCGTCTCTGCCCAGTCCCGACTCTTCCACCTTTAACTTTCACAGGTATTACTAATAAACCTTTGATTCTAAATCCGCCTCTGTATGATTTACCTGAGGATCCAAACGGGCTCAGAGGCCTTCTACGCCATACATACAGGCAAGGGTGAGCCCCTAGAAGGTGGTATCTCACTCTCATAAGACTGGCATTTTAGAAAGATCATGCTGGAAGCAGTGTGGGTGGGTGGGTAAACAGAGGGAACATAATTCCGGAGACAAGGAGACCAGGCAGGAAACTGCTGCAGGGGAGAGTAGCTAGTGCCTAAACTATGGTGGCTGTGGGGTAAACTAGGGAGGTAGCGGGGTATGGAGAGGAAAAAAATGGATTCTTGAGGTGCTAACAGGCCAGAATAGGATTGATCAGAGAACAGAAGATACCAGTAAAGATCCCCAGTTTGCTTGTTTGGGTGACTGGGTGACAGCAGGACCAGTAACCTAGAGAATACCAAAGGAGCTTGTTGACACTGGATGGGGGAAGAAAAGGACTGAGCTTGGTTTTGTCTTTGTTGAGTCTGAGGTGTCTGTCTGTGGGCATCTAGGAAAATATGACCGATATGCAGGACATCTTGGGCCTCGGGAGACAGGCTGGGTAAGAGAGACAGACTTGGGAACAGTGGCACATGGATAATTAAAACCGTGAGTAATATGGGGGCAGAATCACCTACACAAAGAGAGGAGAGAGACGGAGAAGGTCGAGGAACAAAGAACTAACACCCCTGGTGAGGATTTGGGGCCTAGATGCTGATGCCTCCATGAGTCCTGGGAAATGTTGCTGACTTCTCTCCCCAGTGCACCCCTTCTGCCCTGACTTCCTTTTGTATCCACATACAAACCCTGTCTAACTTACCCAAATAACAGCTTTTGTTTGGACTTACCATGCCATCAAAGCCAAGATTACCAAAAATGTCCATATTGTTAAATGCAATGCACGTGTTCAGTCCTTACCTTACTTGCTTCTCAACTATATTTGATCCTCCTGACTGCACACACACGCACGTGTGCGCACACACACACACATTCCCCCACTACTCCGGTGAACACACGCTCTCCTGGTTTTCTTCTTTCCCCTCTAGCCACTTCTCTTCTCTCTCCTTGCAAGCTCCTTCTCCTCTACCTGGACAGAAGCTGTTGGGTTTTCTTGACGGTTGGTGCCAGGTCCTTGCCCTCTCTCAGGCTATGATCTCTCCCCGTGAGCTCTCATCCATGTCCACAGTCCCCCATACCACCTATATGTTAACAACTTCAGTTGGAACTCCAGCTCAGCCCTCTCCTCTGAGCTCCAGACCCATGTACACAAGTCTCTCTGACATCTCCACACCAAATTCACGGTCACTTCATAATAAAGGGTACCCAATCTCCTAGTAACCACTAACTTAATCAATGGCACTATCATCAATCCATTTATACAAGCCAGAAAACCAGGAGTTCTCTCTGACAGCAATCTCTTCCCCACCTTCCTACATCCAACCCATCCCTAAGCCCCGCTGATTTGCTTCCTATTTCTCAAACCCATCACGTCACTGACAGAGGTGACGCCACCTCTGTCACCCTAGTCCTCCCGGCCCCAGACTACTAAAACAGCTTCCAAACTGGTCTCTCCGTTCCATTCTTGCCTCTAAAATCCATTCTCCACACTGCAGCCAGAGTGATCATTTTTAAATGCAGACTTGACTGTGTCACCCATGCTTGAAATTCTTCAACTGCTTAAGATAATAACAAAACTCCTTACCAAGTTTATTAGATAGGATTATGTATGGCCACAAATGGTAGAAAAGATACCCCAAAATGCCTTAAACAAGATACTTTATTGCCCTTTCAACAGAACTCCAGAGACAATTCAGGACTGGTAATAGCAGCCCCACCATCATCAGAGTCCCAGCTTCCTTCTGTCTTACTGTTTGACTTCTAGTGCACTGCGCCCCATGGTCCAAGACCGGTGCTCAAGCTCCAGCTGTCACATTCCATCCCAACCATGAGGAGAAGGAGCAAAGGAGGGCACACTCCTCCCTATAAAGACACTTCCACAAGTTGCAGATACCTCTTGGGCTAAAATGTAATTCTATAGCTGCAAGAGAAGCTAGGAAATATATTCTTTATTCTGACAGCCACGTATTCTACTAAAATCAAACATTCTGTCACTAAGGAAGGGGAGAAGACATTGGGGTAGAACTAGCAATCACTACCAACGACATTCAAAGGAATTACCATCTGGCAGTGTGTTCACCCTTTTCGTTTTTTTTACTCTGGGGCATCGCAGATTATTTCAGTCCCACAGACTCACCTGCTTCTTCCCACCACAGCGCCTTTATACATCGCTATTTACCTCATGTGGAATGTTCCTCACCCCACCCCTCACCAACCTAATCACAGCATCACGCCCTTCCCATATGATCTGTCAGTGATTTTTCATTGATATCTACTGCTCCATACGCTCCATGAAGACAAAGATTATGTCTATTTTCAGTTATTATTGTAAACCCAGAGCCTAACATAGTGCCTGGTACCTAGTCAGTGCTTAATAAATGTTTGTTGAAAACATACCACTAATAATAAGGCACCATTTGAAAGGTTACTATATGCAACCTGTTTTAAGAGCCTAAGAGGATAAATTCATCTGAAAACAATCATATAAGGTAGGTTGTATTATCCCACCTTGCAGATGAAGGAATCTAGAAGTTAAATGTCTAACCAAAGAAGTTAAATGTCTACAACTGAAATTAATAAAATATTGAATGTTACTGTAATTAAAAAATTAAAACGATTTAAAGAAAAAAAAAGTTGGGTTTATACCTTACCTCTTACAAAAGGATAAAAAGGATCAAGGATTTCAATATAAAAATAAATCATAAAAGTTCTATGAAAGAAAATGATTAACTATGAATCAAAATCCCTAAACCCTAAAAGAAAAGATTGGCAAATGTATCAATGCATCCATACAAAAAGAAAAATATTTGTGTGGTAAAAAACACCATTAGGTGTTTTGTGAAAAGATAGGTGGACAAACTAGTAAAAAAAAAAATCTAATAAGGTTAATATATAGGGTTAATTTCACTAATGTTTAAATGAAGTCAGAGAAATCAAGAAGAAAATGACCACATCTACTAGGAAACTGAAAAAGGATACAAAGATACAGAAAAAGAAATTCAGGAGCTTTTAAATATATGAAGAGATGCTGCTCAACAGTCTTAAGAAAAACACAAAGTAGAACTAGACTGAGATAGCTCAAAAGTGTTATCACCTTGGCAAAAATCCAAGTTTAATATCACTCTGGTGGCAATAACTATATAAATTAACACCATTTTATTTGACCTAGGATTTCCTGTAATGAATATATCCTATAGATATCTAGGCATGCGTATGAAATGGCACGTGTACCAGGTGAGTGACTGACTACAGCATGTGGTGACAGCAGAAGACTGGAAAAAACCCAACTGCTTGTCAACATGAGATGGAGTACACTATCCATACGCTGGAATATTTGCAACACGAAAGGGAATGTGCAAGGTCCTTATGTATCAATACGTGAAATTTCCAAAATATATTAAGTGAAAAAAGGCTATATAAGGCTAAAAATTTGTCTTCTTTTGTATGCATGAAGAATTCTGAAAGGATATATAAGAAATTAATAATGGAGGAAGGGAAGAAGTGGATGCAGGAGCTGGGTGATGGTAAAGAGACAAAGACTTTTTATTAAAACCTTCTTATATTTTTAAGCCATGTGAATGTGTTACCTATTCAGAAAAAATTCCTCTTTAAAATTTATATCTGCCACTGTTTAAAATCAAGTGTGTGTTTTTCCAAATATTTGGCTTTTATTGTTGATTTTCAGTAACAGAAAAAGTGGAGTCTCTGCAAGTACCATAAAACTTCCCTCATGCAGATAACCTCAGAGAGACTTTCTCATTTTGATTTTTGCCTAAGTGGGATATTAGTTCTAAAAATGCAGTTTTGCTACTTTCACAATATATTCAATAACTAGAACTGACCTATTACCTAACAGAGGTCCTTAAGTCAAAGATTTGCTCTAGCTAATAATTTATAATTAGTATGATAATTATTGAAGAGTTCTTCATTATAGAATTTGTCCTCAACTTGTCTCTATGGAGTCATTCTTACATGATTTACCTGACCATACCTTCATATAAATTTGTAACACTCAAACTAATGCTCCTTAGGGACAACACATCTAAAATGTACAACATATTTGTAATTATCAGCCTGTCTCCCCTACTCTCACCTTGTACTAGAGAATATGTCTTTTGTGATAATTTGTAAATTAAAGGGACCTCTGAAAATCACCTAAAATTCTATGCTTATAAAACCGTTACCTCCCCACTTTTTTTTGTTTTACTTCAAAGCTTAAACCACCTTCTCAGGGAATGTTTTCTAGGATAATCAGGTGTCAATTATATTTTTTTGGTTATTAAATTAGACTTTATTTTTATTGAGGTATAACTGACATATAACATTATGTCAGTTTCAGGTGTACAATGTAATGAATCAATAGTTGTATACATTGAAAAATGATCAGCATAAGTCTAATTAACATCTGTCACCACATATAGTTACCAAATTTTTTTTCTTGTGATGCGAACTTTTAAGATTACACTCTCTTAGCAACTTTCAAATATACAATAAACAATACAATATTATTAACTACAGTCACCATGTTATATGTTACTTCCCCATGGACTTATTTTTTTTAATAACTGGAAAGTTGCACCTTTAATTATTATATGTCGATTTTTGAAAGATTAAGTTTTTTTGTATAGGTCTCTTAAGGAAAAACATAAGTTGGTCCAAAACATCTTTTAAAAGCTTTACTTTATAAGGTTCTGTCTTAAAGAGCTTCTCAGAAATCCCATCAACCATGAGTAAATAATTGCTTGAAATACAACTGTACCTTCTTTTTGCTTCTTTTCCTTGAGGAGTTGAAGGGATAAATGATCTGCTGTGTTTGGAGAGTTCAGCTTCATCAGCATAAATAGCAGTGCTGTGTAAAGGAGGCTCTACAAAAAGATTTTTTTAAAAAGTGCAACTTTAAAAGTCTGCCTGGGCAAGTTTAAATTTGTTCCTTTATAACGGAATACGAAGCAATCTTCGTTTAAATGGCTGACAAAATCAAAATCAACTATACAACATACTTTCCAAATGTTTTTGATCTCATACCTCAACAATGAAAAATTTAAACCATGTCACTAATACATACATGGATAGTTATCAATTATAACCTGTATCACTGTACTTACACGGAAAGGTTTTAATTCAATAAAAGACCAACATAAATAGGAACTCTGGCATTCACTTTCCTCACCAATGGAGCACGGCATTCCTCATGGGAAGACCATGGCATTTATTCGGTTGTTGGAAAAGTCATGATGCATTTTTGCAACGAAAAACAGAAAAAATATGTCATGACTTTTCTGACAACCCAATAAAACACCACTGGATTGAACACTTTAAATGGATAAATTTTAAGGTAAGTGATTTCCATCCTAATTTTTAAATTATGTGATTTCTTTTAAGAGTCATATCTTGTACATTCAGATTCTTTTTTTTTTTTTTTTTTTTAGCTGAGCCATCCTACCACCGGTTGGCAGCTCAGCAGCAACTCAGCTCGGGCTGGGAATCGAACTGCTGTTGCTCAGAGATCGCACTCTTGAGCGAGCTCTTAACCAACTGAGCCACTTGGCCAGCCCCGGATTTCTTTTAAATAATTAAAACATTTTTATCAAATCATAATATATTCTGCTAATAATTACTTTTCATCTTCTAAAATATACATTTTCTTTTGACAAAAAATTAGACTGAAAAAAATTAGATACCAAATTAAAAATATGTGAGAGGGTGTATGTTTTTTCAAAATTCCCTTAAAACCTATACCAGTAAAAATGTCTGATCACTGCTGTTCTAGATGTGGGGGCAGTTGGCACTTTCTGTATCATTTTTGGCCTCTGAAGTGGCTAGTGACACAGAGACAGAAGCACTTCCATCTGGATAACTCACGCTCCTGGTCAACCAGGGACTCCAAGGAACACAGGTAAGCTCTCCTGCTGGCTCTCCTGAGGCATCCTTTGCCTCAGTGTGTTTAAGAACAGGGAAAACTACCCCTCTTCTTTTCCCCAAATTAAAATCCCTTACTGAATTCCTCTATTAGGGGTATGGAGTGAGAAATACGTTTTATATTCTTCTTGTTACAAATATTATAATAGGTGTCCTAATATGACTGGCTTATTAACAAATGCTACTAGAAGAGTTCTACTTTGATAATGCTTAATAGAGTTCTTAGTTCCAATGTACTTAGAAGTGAGAAAAATTAATTCAAATTATCATGCACTCCCCAGAACATTATATTAATATGCAGACAACTGACTTTTATATTTGAAGATATTTCTATATTTTTATTAGTAACTAGCCTAAATGCTGTTGCTTAAACTACTTTAAAGTTTTTAGCATAAAGATTTAAAATACTAACCAAAGTTTTCATAAGATTCTTCATCTTTCTCATTTTCACTCATCCTGCCCATGCTTGAGATATCAGAATTGTCAGAAAAATCAAATACATCCGTAGGCTTATGCTGTTGGCCAGCTTCCTAAAAGTGAATCAAGTCAAAGTCACTGAATTGGCTTTAACGAACAAGAACATCACAAAACTGCCTTATGCATACTTAGCAAGGATACTCCCGCTATCACTGCTGCCTAAAGAAGTGATCCTTAACACTTTGGGCGGGGACAGAGTCCTCTGATAATGTAAAGCTGGGCCAGCAAAATTTGTTATAAAGGATCAGAGAGTAAATATATCAGGCTTTGAGGGCACAGGGTCTGTGTTGCACTGACATGACTTGGCCATTAGCATGTGAAAGCACACAGTGATGGTGCAGAAAGAACAAGCACTGCTGTGTTGTAATAAAACTTTAATTATGGACACTGAAATTTGAATTTCGTTTCATTCTCACATGTCATGACAGTAGAAGAGCTGCCCTCTGAAGGCTAGGGTTAGGGCAGCAGGTGGGGAGAGACCACACAAGACAGAAAGCCAGGGCAAGACACAGAGCAGAGAGAGCTCCCTGAAAGTAAGTACAGTAATACCTTGGTTTGCGAGCATAATTTGTTCCGGAAACAAACTACTCGTATTGCAAGACATTGCTCGTTTACCACGTTAAAATGTATTAGAAACGTTTGCTCCTCTTGCAGAACACTCGCAAACCAAGTTACTCGCAATCCAAGATTTTACTGTACTCTCCTACATCATTCCTATATCTTAATGGGAATTGCCAATGCCAACTGGACAAGTCCTGGAAAATAATTTGAAATTAGCTATCAAGAGTGTTAAAGAACTGTAGCTGCCTTTAACATAGATTTATTCTAAGAATCCACGCTAGGGCCGGCCGAGTGGCTCAGCTGGTTAAGAGCGCGAGCTCTGAGCAACAGGGTCGCAGGTTCGATTTCCACATGGGCCAATGAGCTGAGCTGCCAACAGGTGGCAAGATTGGCTCAGCTGGTGAGAGCACATGCTCCTAACAACAAGGTTGCAGGTTCAACTCCTGCATGGGATGGTGTGCTACGCCCACTCACAACTAAGATTGAACCCAGCACCTTGAGCTAAGCTGCCCTGAGCTGCCAGCAGGCAGCCAGATGGCGACTGGAGTTGGAGCTAAGCTAGCTACACCCTCCACAACTAAGACTGAAGGACAACAACTTGTCTATTCCCCTCCCCCAACTTCCCAATAAAATCTTAAAAAAAAAAAAAAGAATTCACCCTAAAGTAAAACTATGTGCACAAATTGGAATATTATAAAATCATAAACATTTGTTTGTAACAGAGAAATGGCTATAAATGAAAAGAGCAAAATACAGGAAGTTGTACAATTTGGAGTAATGTCAATTATCCAAACAAACATAAAATCCAGTTAGGCCCAGGAAAAAAGATTCAAAAAGTTAACACAGGTCATTTTCTCCATTATACTGGAAAAAGTGGGAGAGGGGAAGAGGAAAATACTTTGTCACTACAATAAAATATTGAGTTTATCCGGTGAAGTCGATGAAACTGAGGTTCCCACAACATGTTAGTTCTTTTGTATTGTCAATTATGAGAAAAATCACATTAAAATATAAAAGATCACTTACATGTTCTGTGAAATGTGTTCTTCCTACAGTGTTCTTTGAATATTTCACACTATTAAATAGCAAAAATACACAAAAGAGTTAGGGAATATTTTAAAAATAACCGGGGAAAACCCCATAACTTGCAACCCTTTCCAAGCATTTCTTTTCCAAATGATATTCCCCATTACTTGCACTAATAGTGTGCACGAATGAAATTCAGGTCATGGCAAAATCGTTTTAGAAAGCAGAACCCATATTTCACAAATTGAATTGTATTTTTATAGGTCAAATCATGTTACCTATATATATTTTAAAATGCATGCCCTTTTTGATTAAAAAAATGTTACTAGACTTATGGTGGTGATCACATCCCAAGTATATAAATGCCGAATCACCTTGTTGTTCATCTTAAACTAATAGAATAATACTGTATGCCAACTATAACTTTAAAAAAACACACTTTAATTGCTTGACCCTTTCTGAAGTGCCCTTTTTAGTTGTAACAAGCGGCAGCTTTGTTGTCCCTCCACCCCCACTGCGCGGAGATTTGGTTCAGCTTTACAGTCTGTGGTGTGTGTTACAAAAACAGCAAGGCTTTGAAAATAAAAATACTGACTACTAGGCAGAGTGTGAACATCGCCAACAGTAATGTCTGGCAAGTAGCACACACTCAGTAAGTATTTGTTAGGTATTTTGTTCCAAAATATTCTGAGTCTACTTTAAACTATATTCACACAAAATAATGCTAACACTAGCTAACGTTCTTTCCTGCCGCCCCGCACAGTTTTAAACTGTGACTCCTTTAAGGCTCACGGTATTCGGATCAAGTTGGGACCATAATTATTCCACATTTACAGACGTAGAAACCAAGGCCCTGAATCACTCGGAGCAAACTCCGCAGTGGCACAGCCAGGGCGCCTCGTTAAGCAGCACAGCTCGGAGAGGCAAAAACTGTGGCAGGAAAGGAAGAAAACAAAGCTGGTCTCCAGCCCGCGCTCCCAGGGTCCGCGGCACTTACCTCGCGCGTCCGGGGGTCCGCACCCGCCGCCAAGAAGCCATCCAGGCCGACCGCTTTCCCCGCTGGAGGAGCTCACAAACTTCCCGCCAAACCCCTGCCGCTCCGAGTGGCCAATCCGGTCCGAGCAGACGATTACGTAACACGCTTGCACCCGGTCCGTAAACAGCCCGGTCCCAGGGCTCCGCCCCGTGAAAGAGTTTGAGGGAAAACACGGCCTGGCTAAGTACGAAAGCGGAGCTGGAGTCCGAGATTTACAACCAGTTGCTAACGGCCCCTGAGCCGCCAAAGATTTGCCAAGCTTTCCCTTCTCTACCCGCGCTCTGAGCCAGTTTTCAAAGGCTACAGAGCGCTGGAGCCTCCTGGTCCCGCCCACGGCAGCGGGGAAGCCGGAGGCCAGTGTCAAAAAGTCGAACGCGCACTGCTCAGTAAGGGACGGATCCAAACCCAGGGTTGGGGGCGCCAGCTGCTTAGGCGCCTGCGCAGTTGTCTAGTATAAGGCACTGCCAAATAGACAGGACTTGGCTTCTAGTCGGTCGCTGCCCTTAACCAACGGTGTGAGCCTGGCTTGTTATTTTACCTCTATCCCAGTTTCTTCTTTCATCAATGGGGAGAGTCCCTTCTGGAGCTAATATTCTCTGATTCTTTTTTGTTTAAAAATGTATTACCCTGCAAAAGAATCAGTATCACACCATGAAGCCATATCACACCATAAATAAAAATGAACTCAAAATGGATCAAAAACTTAAACCTAAGATCTGATATGGTGAAATTTAAGAAAACAGGGCAAAAGCTTTGTGACATTGGACTTTGAAATGATTTCTTGAATATGACGCCAGAACAGTTTGGGATGATGAAAACGTCCTGGAGATGGAGAGTAAGTGGATGGTTGTGTAACAATATGAATGAATGTGCTTAAGTAGTGCCATTAAATTGTACAGTTGAAAATGGTTAAAATGCTACATTTCATGTATATTTTACCACAGTAAAAAGATACTAACATTTTATAGATACAAAGACTATAACATAATGTAAAAATAAAAAGGAGCACCCATGTACTCACTACTAGATTAGGAAATAAACCATTGTCGTTCCTTTCAAGGATAATCACTCTCTTGATTTTGTGTTTATCATTCCCATGCTTTTCTACCTGATATCTCCCTAAATAATGTATTGGTTATCATGTTTGTAAACTTTACTTAAATGATATTTGGTACATATTCTGCAAGTGCTCCTCCTTACTCAAAGCTGTGATTTTTAGATTTACCCACATTGATTGATGCATGTAGCTGAAGTTGATTCATTTTCATTGTCTTTGGAATGCATTAATATACCACATTTTATTTATCCATTCTCCTGTGTATAGATACATCAGTTGTTTTCAGTCTTTTTTGCTTATTACCACAATGCAGTGCTGAACATTTCTGTGTCTTATGGGCACATGTCTAAGAGCTTCTCTTTGGATAGACTCAGTAGTAATATTATTGCCTCATCATTTAGAAGTATTTTCAGCTTTACCTGATAATGCCAATTTTTACATTGTTTTGTAGACTGTACATTTTACACCCCCATCAGCAGTATATAAAAGTCCCTTTGGCTCCACATACTCCTTGATACTTAGAATTTTTAAGACTTTCAAATTTCTACCTAACTAGTGAGTTAAAATAGTATCCTATTGGTTTTGATTTGCGTTTCCCTTAAATTGGTCATCTTTTCATTGTGTAGAGGTCCTTCCTGATTCCTCTTCAGTGAAAGGCCTGTTCACCCCACCCAGGATCATCTGTCAATTGCAACTGAAGAGTAAATCACCTTTGAGATATTGAAGGTAGTTGCCCACTGATGGGTAGAAGTAGGGTTCCTGGAGCCACTGAAAGTTGTCACCCTTAAGGGAGTGGATAGGTAGCTCGAATTTCTGGGAAAGCGGTTGTAGTCAAACATTTTGTGCTGTGGGTCTGAAAAAAGAAACCGCCCAACTGCTAAGACAGGAAGAAGTTCAGCACTCAGGATAGAAATAAAAACTCAACCCAAATAGGTTTAAATCATAAAGAAATTTATGAGCTGATGTCACTGAAAAGTCCAGAGGTAGGCTACCTGTCAAGTTCACTTTGATCTAGAGGTGTGAGAAGCCATCAGGGCTCTGAATCCATTTTCTTGCCTTCCTTGTAAGTCAGTTTTTTCCTTGGGCTGGTTTCTATCACCATCATCATCATCACTTGAGTTCACTGAGCATTTACTAAGATCAGGCATTGCTGTAAGTGCTTAGTATCTACTAATCCATTAATCCTCTCAATATCCCTGTGTGGTTGGCAATATAATCCCACTTTACACATGCGGAAACTAGGGAGCAGTCTACAGGTAGTAAATGGAGGTGCCTGCATTAGAGTTTAGGATTCTGGCTCAGAGCTTGCACCTGACAGCTGTTCCAAGTCACACATCTGAATTCCGCCATTCAGAGAAAGAGAACAGCTATGTCCCAACACTCCCAGGAGGGGACCTAAGATTTACTTTAATTGGACCAGCTTTGGTGACATACCTACCTGTATTAGTCAGGGTTCTCCAGAGAAACAGAACCAATAGTAGATACATATATATCACATATATGAAATAAATCTCTTCCTAATGTATACATATAAATATTATCATGAGAGAGATTTTATATATAAATATACATATATGTAGGCTATATGTATATAGCCTACATAACTTAGGGACCTGCCACGTAGATGTCTTCCAGCAAACATTTACAAAAGGTTAACAGTGGCGGAAAAAGTACAGCACAACACAGGCACTGTCGTAAAATGGAAAGTGTTGGCCATGGCTTCTTCCCCCCAAAGTAATCTGCCATGCTAAACGCCAACAACTTTGTGTTGTTACATCCAGAGGGGTTGTGAAGAATTAGGGAGAGTGTTCAGGACGGGGTGAGGTATGGGTGTCGGAAGGCGGCTGAAAACACAGGAGTGGAGGCAGCGGGGTCCTGAGCCCTGGCGGTACCCGGAGCATTGTGAGCAACCACAGATGAAGCTGGGAGGTACGGGAGAGCAGGTGATGGCAGGAAAGCTGGAGGACATCTAGCTAGTAGGTCCTTAAGTTATGTAATAACTTAATGTTTAACATTCATGTTTGGAAAAGGAAAAAAACCTGATACACATAATAAAGAATTACAGACTGTCTTAGATCCTTGGGATAAACTGAGTGGTTGGACATGGACGCTTCCCTGTGGAAATATATCTTCCCTGTGGAGTGGGTTGATGTATATATGAGTTCCATATTTTGGAATTAGTAGTTTGGTGTTTAAATGAGAATATAAACAAGAATATTATTATTTATCTTACAGTATTTTCATGAAGATAAGTGGTAAAGAATGTGGAGGTCCCTAGATGTATAAAAGGGCTTATCGTTTCTTACTGTGCCTCTGCTTTTTTCCTAATGAACTCATCTGTTGAATGTTCTGCTCAGTATGTGTCCACTAGAGGGCAGATAAAGAATGGGGCTGGAGATGTGAAAATGTAATCCGAGACCAGAGCTACAGCTCTTTGGCAGACTTTGTAAATATTGGTTCAAAGTCAGTTCAAGATTAGTAAGACTGGATACCTTAACTGCCCTTTCTCAACTCATTTGTCCCTTTCCTGTTCATTACTCTCTTCCTTAATTTATCGAATCCATTCCTATAAGTTTCCCTTAAGGCAAAAGTATGATTTTCTGTTGTGTTGTGAAAAAAATTTATTTCTCAGATCCTCCAACCTTCTTTTTTAACTTCCTAGAGCACTTACGAATTATTAGGTACACGGGAATAACTTGGCAGTTCTCGTCAGGAAGAAACTAAAGTCGTTATCTGTTTTAAACAGACCAACTGCTCCACATCTGTAATTATGACGCAGCAAAACAAACTGGAAAAGTCCCAGACGGCAAGGGGGGGGGGGGCAAAGGAGGAAGAGACCTTCACTTGGATGTTCTCATTAAGAAAAGAGGAAATAAAATTCAGAAAGGAAGTATTAGTCGGTGTCTTCTAAAATTGGAGGGCAGAAAGCTTTTTCCATGGTAGCAAATGGCAGTGACATGAGATCCCTTCAAGTGTCACCTGCTTTCCAACATTTCCCTAGCTCTACGCGAATACCAAACTTATTTGCTCTGTAACTAATGTTCTACTTTTTCCAGACCTAACTGGCACTGCTCCGACCCAAGCTGAGATCACATGGCTAAATAGGTCTGACCACTACATCACTGCTTGCAGTGTCACATGTCTCAGATTCCATTCCCTGCTCCCTGCAGGGCTAGGAGAGTCTGGTGCAGGAATCCTGGCCAGAGCATTCTAGCAAAATCCAGGATTTCTCTAGCTAAGGAATAAGTGACTTCTAACCTGCATAGGAAGTAATTTTATAACTCAGGCTTGTAAAAGGGCCAAACGAGCAGAGCAAATAAAATGAAAGGATACCCCCAAAGAAAAGTATTTTCTTAAGGAAGGGGGGAAAATGTCCCAGAATAAAATTTCTACAGTAGGGACTTCTCTCCATGATTCTCACTCAAGCTGTGGTTGAAAAGAACTTTCTGAAAAAAGTTTTCATCCTTTTCATCACCTTACTCACGCTGACACTACTTTTGGGTGGTCTGAGGACACAGTGGTGAGGCTGACCTTGTCAGAGAGTCTTGAGCAACTAGTGTCCTTACTTCTGTGACCCTTTCTGCTAAGCTGAGAATTAAGTAGCATCAGTGCCAAGGTACCATCAGCCAATGACCCTTCAGACAAGCTCAAGTCAGACAAACGTTCCTCTAACCCTCAGTTGACACAAAACCCTTCCTAGAACCTTCTCTAGCAGGAAAGAGCTCCCCTCATTCTCTGGCTGCTGCCCTATACCTCTCACAGGCCAGCTCACCCACCCTTCTGACCTTGTAACTTAGCATAAAAGGATCATTACCACCGTACCTCTCCACTTCACATCCCTGCCAGGCCATACACATGCTCAACAGTTTGTTTCCTGGGCTTGGAGAATCAGAGAAGGCTTCCTAGAGGAAGTGACCTCTATGATCTAACTGAAATAAAGAAGTAGGAGCCAGCCAGGCTAGGGTAAGAGAATGCTCCTGGGAGAGAGCACTCTCAAAGGCCTAGTGGTGAGCAAGAGCGTGAAGCATTCTGGGAGCTAGAATAAGTTCAGTGTGGCTGGAGTTGGGGAGGTGGCAAAAGATGAGGCTAGGGACACAAGTGTGGATCCTCCAGCTCCTTGCAGCATTGGCATTACCTAGGAGCTTATTGAAAATGCAGAATTTGGGGCCTGAGTCTAGACTTATTGAATCAGAATCCGAATTTTAAGATCCCCAGGGGATGTGATGCACAATAGAGTTTGAGAAGCCCTCCTTGTAAGTACATTAAGCAGTTCAGTCTTGGGAGCAATGGGGGATCTCTGAGTGATTAAGCAGGGAAATCATGTGATAAGACTTGTGACTCAGAAAAACCATTCTTGTTGCAG